GGGTGGAGCCCCCCGGGGCAGGTACGGCCCCCCGTCCCGGCGCTCGGAGTACAGAGTGATCGTCTCGGGTGAGTCATTGCTCCCTTTCTCTTAACCCCAGCGCTCCCCCGGGGTCCTCCAGGCGGGCTTCGCAGCGAGAGGGGATGCAGCTCCGAGCTGTTCCTTATAAAAGCATTGCTTCCCGTAGCCTGGGAGGAATGCTGTGCCTGCGAGCAGCTCCTCGAGGCACCCCGCCTGCTTCCTCAACAGCCTGTGTCGATTGCTCAAGCTGATGCTGTAGCTATAAGAGGCGAGAGAGTATGACCCGGTGTTTAAGTAACTCCTTGCTTTTTATATAGGGCTGCCTCCAAGTGGAAGTTGGCAGGATTTAAAGGATCACATGCGTGAAGCAGGTGATGTATGTTATGCTGATGTTTTCCGAGATGGCACTGGTGTCGTGGAGTTTGTACGGAAGGAAGATATGACCTACGCTGTGCGAAAACTGGATAACACTAAATTTAGATCTCATGAGGTAGGTTTCATGCTTACTTTTTTTGGCCAGAATTGGATACAAGGGGCTTAACAGTAGGATTTGAAGGTAAGGAATGTGTGGTGTTTGTTGTTTATATACGAAGCGGCTGAGTAAGTCTGTGGTCAGTTTGTCAGGAGATAGACTTTAAAGCTTTGCTGTCTGTTTCCGTGCTGTTAGTAAACGATATCTGCAGTCTGTCAGCATGCCTAAAAAGATGGCCCTAAAGCCTAGACTTTTCAATCGAAAGTTCTGTCTATTCAATAGGGAGAAACTGCCTACATCCGTGTTAAAGTTGATGGCCCAAGAAGTCCAAGCTATGGAAGATCTCGGTCACGCAGCCGTAGTCGTAGCAGAAGCCGTAGTCGAAGCAACAGCAGAAGCCGCAGTTATTCCCCAAGAAGAAGCAGAGGATCTCCACGCTACTCTCCCCGCCACAGCAGATCCCGATCTCGTACATAAGCGATCACTAGCTCTGATCTTTTTGTAGAACCCCATGTTGTACACAGTTTTCCTTTACTTAGTACAGTCTTTCATTCTTTTTTTTCTTTTTTAAAATTCCAACTGTTTTACTCAAATTGGCTGAAGTGTTGAATTGCATTCTTGTGTAAAATCCCTAGTGAGTATTTGCTCCTTCACATCGACATTCCCCTCATGTCTTTGGTAAATTGTATTTTAATTGATGTCAGTCAGGATTGTTTCGGTTTAGTTTCTAGTTAAATACCAACATTCTTGGAGCTGTGGTATTGCTGTGTAAATGTCTCAGTGTTCAGCTATGGTTTATACGAGCTGGGGATGTTGGGATGTTTGTGGCTAACTTGTCTCTTCTGGGGGATCTTATATTTTATCTTGCCTTTTCGTGTGTCTTTCTGTAGACATATCTGAAGAGATGGATTAAGAATGCTTTGGATTAAAGGATTGTGGAGCACATGTCAATCATTTTAGGATTGTCAAAAGGAGGATTGAGGAGGATCAGATCAATAATGGAGGCAATGGTATGACTCCAAGTGCTATTGTCACAGATGAACTTGGCAGTATTGACCTTATACCGAGAGCCAGGCTAATGGAGCGCGTGCACCTCTGTGTCACGTCAGGCATGGTGTAGTTACCGCAGGCTACAATTGCTCTTTGCTTTAAAACTCTTTTTTTGGGGGGGCAATTGTGGCTAAATACTTGCTTTTGTTATTCTCTAGTCCATTATTCTATTCTATTTTTAGTTTTTTTAAGGAATAAACTGGGTCGGGGTGGGAGTTTTGGTTTACTTTGTCACGCAGCATTTGGTTACAAGTGTTAAATGTTCTGTAGTATTTGTGCACTTGTAGTAGATCAAAGGGTATCTTTAAATCGGAGTATAATATCAATACTGCTAAAATCTGCATGTCCTCTGTGTGACTGATACAGCGTTGCTATTGCATTTCTTAAAGTATCAGACTGAAAGCAAAAATACAACCAACAACTTAGAGAACCAAGTGGGGAATAACTTAAAGTCTCAGCCCTGCCCCCTCAGACTAATTGTCAATTGACTCACCGATCCGTTTGCGAACTCCAGTTCCCGGCGTTCCCTTCCAGCTGGGAATGCTGTTGTAGCTCAGGCCTGCAGCAGGTGGATAGTGTTGGCAGTTAAAGCTCTTCCAGTTTCGTAGCCCATTTTTTGCGACCACAAAGCCGTGCGAGCGATGAGTATGTTGGCATTTTCAGTTGACATATTGTAAATATGACAAATGTTTCCTCCGAGTAGTAATTAACATTTCTAAGAAAGAATTATCTGAGCATCACCATTCACGAGTTTGTTTTGGGGAATTGATAGTTATTACTGTACATCTCTGTTAATTGATGGCAAACATAACTGATCATTCCCCAGAATCCTATTTTTTCATTACAGTATCTAACTTTTTGCCTCCTCTTTTTTGGTTTTGCTGGTTATAAAGGTTTGGATTGGAGAGGGCTCACTGGATCCCAATCCTTGGAGCTGGATCATTGGATTCAAATCATAATGTGGATAGGATAGGGAGGCTGAATTACAAGGATTCATGGAGCGGGATCAAATTACCAGGAACATAGGAGTGGATTCCTGCCCCAACCAAACCGCACTCGTGTGGAGTCTTTTTGTTATTCAACTCAATTGGCTATTCCAAAGATACCTTTTTTTTTTTCCTATTTTTGACGATGGGAGCCCTTAAGATGCACGATGGAGTTTTTCCATGGTTTTTGGTAAAAGGAGCAAAGCGAGGACCTGGAGAGGTGCGTTGGAGCGATCTCCTTGGAAGGATTCAGCACGAGTAGATGGTAAACGCTAAAGGGGAAAAAGGGGGGTTTGTTTAAAACATTAAACCGAAGTCATTTCTCTAAATTTAACGACCAATTGGAGTTAAAGATTGAGCAGGTTTTCAATTGGCTTCTGCCTTTTTCTTTTCTTTAACAAATAAAATTTTTACAGAAACACACACCCGGGGGTTGTGGTTTGTTGCCAAGCCGAGGGCTCCGCTCGCCGCCACGGCCCCGCTCGGCCACACAAAAGCCTTTTGTGCTCCACAGAGATGTAGTGTTCACAGGAAGCACTGGTGTTTGAGCTGCTCCCAAAGAAAGGGCTCCGTTCCCTGGGAAATGGGTGGAATTTATTACGGGAGAAGGGGGAAAGAAAGACTTCTCGCTGCTTAAAAGAGGATGTGTTAATATTCATGTTGCTAGTGATACGCGACGGAAAATGGGAGGTTCAGCGGGCTCTCTGCTGGCCCTGCAATCCTCTTGAGGATAAATGGGGTGGAAGTGGGGTGTGCAGACCTGCCCGGTGTCCATGGGCTTCGGTGGCTGGAGGCAGCAAGTGAGGAGGATGCAGGTTATGGAGGAGCCAGTGTAATCTGGTTGTAATCGCCCCCAACACCCAGGCTGGGAATGCGTCTCCTTTCCTAGGTGGAGGTTCTAGTTGCTTAATAGGAAGTCCATCAAAATTCCTTCAGTTATCTGAGTCTTTGTCGGATTTGCAGGGAATTAAAGTGTCAGCGTGGAGCACAGGAGTTGTGTTTTCTGCGCAGTGTGAGTGCAGAGCATGGGGCTGTCCTGGGGAGCACAGGGTGGGTGGTTGGGTCACTGCTTAAGTAGGGACCTCTGGTTCTGGTAGCAATGGTGGTTCCTGTGAGAAGCTGCTGGAAGCTTTCCCCGTGTCTGATGGCACCAGTGCCAGCCAGCTCCAAGATAGATCTGCCGCTGACCAAGGGTGAGTCCCCAGGGATGGAGATGGTGCCTCCAGGATGATGTATTTAAGAAGATGGAAAAACCCTACACAACAGCAGCAGGTTTTAGCGGAATAAGAGGAACAGCTCTGCAGACACCAAGGTCAGTGCAGAGGAGGTGCTCCAGGCACAGGAGCAGGGATTCCCGGCAGCCCCGGGAGCTCCATGGTGTGGAGCAGGGGGATTCCCAAAGGAGGCTGTGACCCTGTGGGAAGCCTGTGCAGGAGCAGGCTCCTGGCGGGACCTGTGGTCCCATGGAGAGAAGAACCCACGCTGGAGCAGGGAATGAGCGTGAGGAGCCAAGGATGTGTATGAGATGTACTCAAACAATTATGGCAAAGCCCTGTGCCTGTGGGCAAGGCGAGAGTCACGCTGTGCAGAACAGACGTGGCTGCTCAAGTGGCTGTGGGACAATGCCGGGTGGGAAGAAAAGGGGAAGAGCCGTTGGGATGAGTGGGGGGGGAGTGTGGAAGTGGGGTGGCTCTTGCAGAGGGGTTTGTTTGCCAGGGTGGGGGAAGCAGGGGAGCGCAGTGGCAGCCTGTGCTCAGTGGCACGTAGGTGTGTGCTGTTGGAGCAAGGGGAAGTTTGGCCTGAAAAACCCCAAACCCTTGTGTGGCCTGAGCTCAAGGAAGGTGAAATGGGAGCGGCTTTAAAGCAGAGGTTCAAGTGTGCTCAGGGAAACAAAACCTCCTCTTGCACAAAAGGAAACCTGAGGAGTTTGGTTTGAATTGGAGTGGTGTTTGGAGAGGGTCTCTCTGGCTGCGTAGAGGTTGGGAAGAAAGAGAACTTCATGGGGTGGGAGGAGTGAAGAGTGAAGGAGGCCCTCGCAGATGGAGGCGCCAAAGTCCCCTCCTTGAAACAGGAGGGTCTGGGTTCTGACCCAGGGAGTCCAGAGGTTCTGAGCACAAAAAGCTAATTAACGTGCTGAGGCACTAATTTAAGGGGTGGTTCGGCTGACTTCAGGACACAGCAGTTGCCTGTACAAGCTCGGAAGTGGTTTGCAGCGTGGTAAGAAGCATCACCCCATGGAAAGGCCATTCCTCCTCGGTGGGAGCACAGGAGCGCTGCGAGGAGGAGGAGGCAATGCCAGTGCTCGTCCATGTTGGGATTTGTGGACCACATCACCTTTGTGCAAAGCTTTGAACACGGAGTTCTTAAAGACCTGGTGGGTTTGTACCCTGGAAGGAGGCTGCCAGCCCTCCCTGCTGAGTGCGAACGATGAGCTTTCATTTCACTTGGAAAAAGGAAAGGAATGGTGGAATGCTGGAGTTCCTTCTCGTTTTGGCTTTCCACACTAAGAGAGGTCGGGCTACTGCAGCTGATCCATGTCCCTGCTTTTAACCCAGCGGTGCTGGAGCAGCTCTGCCATTCCTGCCCAGGGGAATCTGCCTTTCCCGAAGGTCCTGCGCTTCCGATAGTGCCGCTTTGTTGGTACTACTGAGGGCAATTGTCCTCCGCGGGGCTGCGTGGTCCCTCTCTCCTGCCCTTGCTCCACACAGCTGCCTGTTGGCAGCCCGGCACGATACTGCTGGCATTGTGCAGGCACTTCGGGAAGCGCAGCGGCGAGGGAGGGAATCTGTCCTCCTTAATCAGCCTGATAGCAGAGTACTTCATAAACTTAACACAGAAATGGGTGGAAAAGTTGTGGTTTCTCCCAGAAACCACGCTCGTCAGTTCTCCGTATTTTATTTCAAGCTAAAATCATTACAAGTTGATGAAGCGAGAGTTCAGGTGACATTCATTGATGTGTTCATGTCGGTCGTGGCTCGAGGTTTCTCACTGCTGGTAACAGCACAGAGTTTTTAGCTGTACAGCACAGTAAGAGTAATTCCTAGATTGGCTGAAACCAGCTCTAGCTTTGGTAAGTGTGAGTGCAGAGTGATCCTCGCTGCACCTCCACAGCGAAGAGCAGTTTATCTTGAATTGCAGTTGAAGCTATTCCAAATAGAAACGTGAATTTTTACGGGAAAAGAAACCATCAAATCAAGATTCCAGGAAGTTCCCTGTGTAACAAATGTTCCCTGAAATCCCTCTCCTACACTCCTGAAGAGGTGAGTGAGTCAGACTTGCAGAGCTTGATGCAACCAGCCATGCTGTGTGCTCCTTGAAGGGCACAGAGCCTTGCCTGCCCCTTGGCTGTAGAATCATGGAATGGTTTGGGTTGGAAGGGACCTTACCGCTCCTTCAGCTCCAAACC